GCTGTTCAAATCTCACCGGCTCAGGGTTGACTCAGCCTTCCATCCTTCTGAGGTGGGTAAAATGAGGACCCGGATTGTTGGGGGCAATATGCTGAAAGCCCTATGAAGCGGTATATAAGTCTAACTGCTATTGCTATTGCTATTACCTATAAGGTCCCTTCCAACTCTGTTAATGTATTAATATATAAATAAATATCAGACGTGCCCAAAGACACCATGTAGCCTGTCCCTGTTTCTCAAAAAATAAACAACCCAAACCACCCCAAGCCTTGAAAAGCAATCCCCTCATTTAGTATCTGTCTCATTTAGCGAGAGTGTGAAAAATGGCCATAAGTCATTTTTTTTCCAGTGCCATTGTAACTTCAAATGGTCACTGAATGAATGGCTGTAAATCAAGGTCTACCTGTGTAATACAATATGTCTTGGAGAAAGCTGGGAATATTACAAGACATGGTTGTATTTCACTGGAGAACATTTTTTTAGGCCTACAGTGTGAATGCTTATCTACTTTGATTGTCTACTTTGTAACACAATTTCTCATTTATCTTCTGGCAATCCACTATAATAGAATTTTTCTCACAGTTGGGGAAACCTTTTAAGCAAGTTTTCACAGGCAGCTTGTTTTTCTTGTTTTAGTTCCGATTTTTTTTTCTTTTGCTCTACTGTACTTGGGTTATATGACAAAGAATGATACACACTCTCCCTATTGTGGCAATTTTTTATTACTTGATGAAATGTTTGCTATTATCTAGATTATACTTGAATTAAAAACCACATTAACTTTTCTCTCATGCCAAATTATTTTCATTACTTTAAACTTCTACTGCATGCTAGCATTCTGCCTCTCTTTACATATTGAATTGTATTACCCATCTTTGGGTTTTATTGCAAGAAAGGGTCTTAATAACAATTAAGATTCCTTTACCCCATTTAATATCAGATGCCTGGACTTTGTTTTATAAAGAAAAACAAACTATAAACATTGTTTAGAGAAGTTAACTACCGCAAAGAATTCCAGAATTCCTAGTTCTGTTAATTAAAAGGCGTGGTGCAGCTATTCTACTTTTATTTCCTAAACTATATGTATGTGTATTTGTTCCTAAGGAAAAAATATCCAGGAAAAGCAGTAATAACTTTAGGTGAACAACTGTTTTGTTTTTTTTTCAGATAAAAATGTTTTGTTTCAAAGTCCAATTTAAAAACCTCATTTGGAATTAAGGCTAAGTCATCCACCATTGATAAATCATTGTCTTCTCCTTTAACATAGACAACGTATGGGTTTTTTTACAGGCAGTCACCATTTTGGCCTTTTTAAACCTGTTGATATTCTCCTTCCTAAAGACAACATGTGCCCCCTCTTGAGGAATTAAACTAAAGTTATGTATTTTTGTCTGGGCTACTGCAAGCTGATGCATTAAGGATGGGAAAAACATTTCCTAGCTTTTCAGTCGCTACAG